AAGTTGAAATGGGCTCGAATGAGTATTAAAAAGATCAGTCATCTTTTCAGGAGCAAATGCATGAAATGCAAAGAAGTCATACCGCAAAAACAAATCAAGTTTGGTCTGCATGCTGGGTGGCATCATCAGCAATGCCTCTTTTCCAACATCACTTTTGGGGTACGTATACTGCAGTATGCTCTTGCATTTTCCTACAGTGTCTACTCAGGGATATATCGAGGAAATGAACGGTTTTGCCTACCTGACAGAAGAGGATCAGGAGAAACTGCTTGTGGAGTTGAAAGACTTCACGGTGCCCTACCTGTGAGTCTACACCTATTTAATCAATCATCAAGGTCAAATCATTCAGTGATGAAATTGACGATGATGAGGAAGACGAAAGTGGAGTCAAGAAAGGGGAGGGTAAAGAGAACGACAAGGCAGGGAAAAGGTGAGATACCTTTGGCGATGTCTTGCTTATGAAGACCTTATCTTCCTACAATCTTGTTATGTGGTATCATTCAAGGCCACCGGATGCTACAAACGGTGACCAGATTCCTGCCAAGAAACGGAAACAGTCTGAAGAAAACTCCAACAGGGAGAAGCTGAAGGTAGACCTTAGAGGACCACAAAATGTGCAGAATATTTGCTTTCGTTTAGAAGCAGTCGAATGTCCTTTGGGAGTTACGCAGAGAACTGAACGACAATCTGACTAAAGCTGAAATGGTAGAACTTTTGAAAGAAAATGGACAGAAGCCTTTGAAAAACGATAGAGTGGGTCATCCCTCTTGCGAGCTTTGTTTACAGGAGTGCCATCATTCTTACAGATGTTGGACCATCTGGTGGACTGTGTGGTCTTCGGAGTACCTTTGCCTTGTCCGAAGTGTGGCGGACAACTTTGTTACAGGTTTTTGCACATTTTCATTTGTTACTTTTCTATTCCGTTGGAGTGTAGTTTCCTTTTTTTTTTCAAAATTTTTAAGTAGGAGGCATTGTAAGTTGTGAGAGGTATGAATCCATTCATCTAAGTTGGCCATAACATACACAATAATAATAGGGCACCGATTGGTGAAGGCAAGTTTGAAGTGTGCAGTCGACTTTAAAGGCAATAGACATGCAGAATGGACCCTTGTCGGATTTTGGTGGAGTT